GCAGAAGTCAGTAAAACCAACAAACAAAGATTTGTATCTTCAAGTAGCACCCAAGGATATGACCAAGGACAAGAAACTCTGAAGCTAACAGTGAATGATACCCGTTGATGTAGAAAATCCGGCAGTTACAATCCAGTTCTACCACGGGACTTCTAGAACACTGCCTTCACAGCTTTAGAAATTATTAAAACAGTTCACACCATCATAAAACATTCACAACTCAAAATCCCTTAAAGAATCATTGATTGTGCTTTTACAGCTTGTGTCCCTATTTAAAGGAAAAAAGGATAATGGAAATCAGTGGTATTTTTCATTTCTATACAGTTTTCAAATAGTTCCATTCTGTGCAGTAAGGAATGGAAGACTACTGTGCATTTTATCACCACATTTTACCTATTTTCTACACCTCATCATTAAAAAGAATGTTTCTTATAGACTAACATCTGTCAGAAGTCTGTCACTATTAGAACATCTCTTTGAGGACTAAAAATTTTTCAATACTTCAAATACAGATGTCCAAGATGCACATTATCAAACCCCTGGGAACTCATACGTGAAACAGTCTCTAAAGAGTCTTATTCATTTAGGCACTGCTAATGCTGCATTTGTTTTGTTCTTCTGAGCTGAGGATAAGGGGATAGTACAGGTAAGAAACAGTGGACACCTAATAAACCACTAAGCCCACTGCTGCCCTCAGAACTCAATTTCTCTTCCTCTACTTTTTCATTCTAGTCTTTGAAGGAGGTGTTGGACAAAGTCAAAACACATTTTATGCTTTACTTGCAACTTATTTGTCCAACTGCCTTAATATGCCAGTCATACCGTGGGCATATTTTTTGGCCTGTATTTCAAACCAATTTATCATCAAGGAGGGTTCTAAATATATTTTAGCTTACCTTCAATATTATGAAAATCAAACAATGTTTGTTAAAATATAAGAGAACCCTCAGCCTTTTAAGATGCAAAGATGACAACTGGGAATTGATGAAATAAAGCCTAGGCAGTTTTTACTGTTCTCCTTACACACGGAAAGGGAAATTCTATAGATTTCTCCACATTAAGAGTAACAGTTTGACAAATTATTTGCAGAAAATTTCAGCTAAACACATAATTAAGCAATCCAGTGCAGAAGAGTAAAACCAGCAGCACTATGCAACTATAATGATGAAACAGCATGTCTCCCTCCAGACAGGAAACTTCACAGAAGGCACACAGCCCCTGACAGACATTTGCATTACATAGAATGACTCAAATTTTACAAAGACGTAAAGCATTGATGAATCGGGCTTTTCAACTGCACTCGCCCATTTAGAGTTCTGAACTTTGCAGCTTGGGCTTCTTTTACTACAACTTAGTCTTAGCTATCATAAATTATGATGTTATTCCCTTTTAAATATGCTTTGCTACTGACTGAAGATGTCAATTCACAACTGCAGATACTAGAGTCTTAATTACCAGCTTAATATACTGTATGTATCATCTTCACACCCCCCCTTCTGTGTGTTCTAGAAAGGTTCCTCTAAATATATACTATACTTATCTGGAATTTATCTGTAACTGAACCCAAGTGGACAAGCATTAAATCACTGCTGACATGATTTTTAATTACCCATCAGAACTGGGTGTAGAATTATCTATCAGAATGGAACTCTACAAAGGCCTGCTACAGTGTCACCAGATGATCCCACTGTTTACACAAATTCAAAAAGATAACTTTGAGCTGAAGGGCACCTTCTGTTGTCCTAAGCCTACTTTCTTCTAGCCCTTCACACCAATCTGCTCATTCTCTTTCCTCCTTTGTAGAAGCAAAACTCACCAAACCGATTTCTTTCTGACATAATGACAAAACAACTACAAGCACTGAATTACATGCCAGGCCCTCTTCCACTAAGCTAACAGCTTCTTATATGGTGAAGGTAAGGGGTATCTTATTGCTACCCAACAAAGTGTGCAGTGCTTTAACATTTGCCATGCTTTAACATTTATTATAAATACTTTCATATTGAATTTAACAACACATCAGCACTAAATTCAACAAAAAGCACAAACATGTTAGTAGCAAGAAGCATGCTTCAAATCACATCACGTATCTAGAAGTGTATTCTGACAGAAAGGAGGGATGCAATACACGTTTCTTCTTTTAACTGTATTATGTATGAAAACAGTCTGGAAAAGCAAGATACTGAACAAGTCTCACTCAAAAAGTTAAAGAGGAAAACTGAGTTTTATTTTACAAGAACCTCATCATGCAACTGCATAGCTTACAAGTTCCATAAAGCTGTGTGAGAATTTAATCCTGGACTTCACCATGGAGCTCACTTGTGCAGACAGCCCTTTAGAAAAAGTAGAACACTTGTGACACTTTCAACACATCTCTGCAGGTGACACTGCGTGCTCTCTGGCTGGGGGGAAGGGGAGGGGTCAGAAAACAACCTCTTAATTTGATTTATATGTTCTAAGTCACAGGTGAAAAAGCCATCACAGGATTCCTCATCCTTACCATTCTTATGGCCACTTTCTAAGACTTAGTAAAAGTAACACATAATACCGTCTCTCACAAGACTTTAACTAAAAGACTACATAGATGTGAGAAAAAAAAACCCAAAACCCTATGCGTAATATTGTTGACAGAATCCTTGTTAAAAAAGTCCTTCCTTGTTAAAGATTTAATATTAGGCTGAACTTGTTGCTCACTTTTTCTCCCATTTTGCTGGTTTTCTCCAGTAAGAATGTGGGCATAAAGTTTAAAAAAACCCTAACCCACAATCATTTTACAGGCTTGCCTTTGATGTTTAACAGACAACACAGTCCAACTTTGAACATTTGGGTTACTTCAAAAGCAAAAGGCAATTCATGAGAAACAGATTAATACTGTTCTTTACGAAGCACCAAGTACCCCAACATTATACAGGTACACAAGCAAAACTACAGGCATAGTTCTTTAAAAGCATTTTATGCATTTATCTAAAATCTGTCTTGGGATTATGTGGAGTTTTTTTGGTCAAAACCTAATATTTCTCTCCAGTGAATTAACAGAGGCTGAAATACACTTATTTGCACCTAAAGTGAAATCCATCAGAAGGTAAGTATTTACAAGATCTTGATTTTATTTTTATTTTTTTTTTTTTTAGAGAAATAACATTCCTCCACTTTACATATCATTAAACTATGGCTCCACATGAACAAGCATCATAATATCAGAAAAGGCTGTTAATTACTAGGAACTACAGTGACTTACATTACTCTGCATGTGGATGGACACTCTAATAACAGGTCTGGAGTAAGGAAGTAAGAACAGCTTCCCTGAAGACTTGGTAATAAGACAAGCGCCTTAAGACATTCTCCATGTCAAGTCCCAAAAGATCTTATGCGTATGACACTAGATGACCACCTCTTATTTCAGGCCGACAGGCTGACCCTGGCATCAAGACCAATTTCCCTCTTTAATGAGAAGAAAACCAGTAAGACTGGTTGGCTAAAGTTACAGCACAGATGCGCAGTTATCTGGGCTACTACAAAGTACTCAGATGACATGAAAGGCTCAGCATGATCTGTACCAATTAAAGGATGTTCAGATTTTAAAACAGCTGTCAGGAATAATTTTCAAGTAAGACAGCTTCCAAAAGATTCTGCAGAGGTTTGTATGAAGTACAGCAATATCTGGTGTGGTAAGCAATGAGAAAAAACTCGCAGGCCCCAAAACCCACCTGTGCTTGCATGCAAGAAAAATGAACGAAGGACAAGGGGAAGATTTTCCTGGAGAGTGATAACAGAGAACATCCAGGCATTGCTGTACACAAACAGCTGAGGGGGAGCTCCCATGTGTCATGGTAAAGAAAGCAAATTGTGCATGAAAGAGGGGGGCAGTGAAGAGATTTTGCTACTAATCATGGCACTGATGAGATCAATACTAGAATGCTGTCCTAAATTCTGGGTTATGTATTACACACTGCAACCTCTCTTAACTTTCAGTAAGCACTGCAAAATCTATTCGGGAGCTAGATGTCTTACAGGGAGCGAATCAGACCTCAGTCTGTTTGACTGTCAAGAAAGATGACATCAGATTTATTTTTATTTCTTTTCATCCACAAAAAGTCATATAAATTTCACATGTTGGGACGGAAACATGTTGTTTGAAAGAAAATAAGATCAACACTTGCTTTTTAGCATGGGTTATTAGTTTTCCTATCTATTTTCTAGCTTAACTTACCTCTTTCACGCTATGTGTTACTGCCCATGTCAGGAAAACCCTTGACATCACTTGGAAAGCAGTCAGAACAACCGAAGAGGGAACAATGCCTGGAAGATATTTTGCAATTAGTAAATATTTCTGACTATCGGGGTGGGGAAATAAAACACAGCTAAGCCAAAATCCAGTTATTTTAATTTCTTTGGAAGGAAAGCATTCATTTCTTTTCATTTAAGACTATGAAGTCTGTCCTGTGGTATGTTTTCACAGCCTAATGCAGTGCAACTGACAAGACTTTCTGCATCAAAATACAAATAAAACTAAACGGCTTTCAATCACAGCACATTCCTTAAGACACAGAACAGCTGAATTAGATAACTTCAAATAGCTTTGCTAAAGTCTTTCAAATAAACCCTTTTTCATTGAAATATCCAAGATACTTTTTATCACTGTGATTTAAAGAGGAAAAATAATAAAGATGTTTTGCAAAATACAACCCCCAAAACAGCAAGCGAAAGTTAGACCTATTTTGAAGAAACACTGATCCAGCCCATATTCTGATAGATACAAAGTTCATAATTCCTTCTTGGGAATATAACTTAAAAAAACAACAAAAAAGAAAAACCCAAAACAAGCCCCAAGGAATAGCTGAAGTGTTGGTAGGTACAGAAACAATTTTAGGATTTTCTCAAGGAAGCAGATTTCACTGGTTCTTCCAAGTTCTGAGGTGCTGATTAAAAGGATCCTACATATCCAGGTCTTCTAACCTTCACAGCACAAAGTTTTATTTTCTTGTAATAGCATGATGAAGACAAACACAAGAGCACTTGCAGCTCCCAAAATACAGTAAAAGCTGCTTCTAAAACTAATGCAAATCACAGCAAGCATCACAACAGCCTCAGAAAGAAGTAAAGACAAAACTGGTAAGGAGAAGAGGAAGAAAAAGCTAAAAGAAGAAGAAAAGCTAAAGCAAGTTTCTTTAGAATTATGTTCAGTCACACAGTCATGTTATCTGCCTTCTAGAGTAAAAAGCAGGGTGGCATTAAGAGTTGCTGAGGGCTACTCTGCAGGAAAAATCCTACACACACAGTTCTCTTCAGTTTCATCACGAATTGTTCATAATCTAATTTCTGTTGTAAAACCTCAGGGCAGAATTGTTGTCTGTTACTCAGACAACAGTAAAGGAGGTGCTATTAAAACCCCACAATCCGTACACATTAAAGGCTCATTCCTATGATGTAACAGACCTTTTCATTTATACAATTTAGATCATCCCTCCGTAAGCAAGATAACCTAATGTTCTCGCAAAGAAAACCATAAATAAGCCAAAAAGACTGTGTAGGAACCATCTAAGATTATCTCACAAAGTTTCATTATAGCCAAGACAATGCTCATCTATGCCAAAAACAGGAGATCAAAATAAGTGACTCATCAGCTACAATTTATGTAAACATTACTTGCCTCTAATTATTTATTCACTGCAGTGAAAAGGTACCTGACAGTCAATTTGAAACTTGGCATTTTTAAAAACCTCTGTCGCCAACTTATACAACACTTCACGTGCTAGAGCAGTGCTTGACAGAGGGTTCAGGTCCAGAACCAAGCAGCAGGTAAGCCATATCCAGACCTCTTTCAGATCCTGGACTACATCTCCCAGAGGAAATCGTCCAACTCCCAACAAGTGCTTCCTCTTTCCCAGGGAATTCCCACTGAGAACTGTTGGCACAGCTTACAAGTGGAGCCCTGGTATCCTCCTAACTGAGGAGACTAAAGCTAAGTCCACCAGTGTTGACTTTGGCTTACCAGAGTGTTACTGGTGAGCATTGCTACCAGAGGAAGGCTGGTACTGTAGCAGTTCTGTAGGCTGGGCCTGTACTCACCAAAGCCCTCTTGCTTTTCTCCATTACTTTCACAAAATCCCTGTACTACTACTATTGCTTCTACATTTTGGCAGCTCCTATCACCTCTTTCCAAACCAAGTTCCTCCAGGCAGAAGCTCTTCCATGCTATCAATGCCATGCATACTCTTGGGTTCTGTCTGCTACACAAGTCAAGGAACTGCATATTCACTTCCCATTTGCCTGTCTTTCATTGTCTCCTCTTGGTCTCTGGGCTGTATGTCACCTCCTCTCTTGCCGTATAGCTCTCCATTTTTTAAAACTTTGCCACGTGCCAAAGTTCTGTTCTCAATCATGCTTGACACATTCCCCTATCAATCTTCATATTTCCAAGAACTTGCCTCACAGATGCTAACATTTCAGATTCCACTCAAAAGATGTGGAGAGAAGTTATGCTGATACACACAGCCATCTGTCACACACAAGCTCTTCTACTCACAGAGAATTACAGCTCCAGTTACAACAATTAGTTTAGTGGGGGCAAAAGAAGCTGCAAATTTCCTGTTTCTCCTTGCAGAGAAACTTTTACCAGAGTCAGTAGGACTACAGCAGACAGTGGCAGCGTATCCAGCTGTGCATAAACCCCCTCACTTTATTTAGCTGACAAATGCTTCCATTAACAGAAAAAAAACCCATGGGCAATTATAGTAAGTGGGAATTTTGTAAAAAACTTTGTTAGGGAAAGCAAAAAGATAGAATTATAATGGTATAAAATGTTGCAACATTCCACTAATGGCTCTCTTCACCAGTACGAAATTGTGCAACTGAGGATAACACGGGCTAAATGGATCCACACCTCAAATCAACTGAGCCAGGATTATTGGCTTTGCAAGCAGCCAGGCTGCTACAGTCATCTTGTCTGCTGTTCTGCCCCAGCCTGGAAGGTGAAACACAGGCCTCTCCCTGGTTTGTGTGAACATATATTCTGATATGTGAGAAAAAGATAATCCAACCAAGATTTTTACACCCTTTCTTACATTTCATTAGAAAATTAGCAAACACTGGCATCTGCACGCAAGTTTAGTTTAAGAAAACAGTAGAGCATTATAGACTTAGGATGGTAAAATAGCATTTCATCAGAAAGAGGTAACTTGTCCTTCTTGTCACTTGTTAAATAAGAGTTCTAAACTTTCACGTTATTATTAATTTTTGAAAATTTTTTAATGTAAGTATGGTTTATTCTGGTAAAAAAAACCAGGGATTGAGATTCAGTAAAATAAACTGGTATAGGAAGGGCTGCCTTGGCAGCACAGGCAACATATAATTTACTCAGAAGCCTTTACATTAATCTGAAGGGTATATGATCACTCATTTCTTGAGATGATCTGTGAACAGTCTACAGACTGCCCTTTCTAAGACATTTTCAAAGTAACTGAATTATTCAGGAAGGTCAGCACTACTTTATCAACTATAGAATTAGACTGCCCTCTGCTGACAAAGGTATGTATATGATCTTAAGTTTCCCAACTAACACATTTGGTTTTTCAAAAACAAAAAAAATCTTTTGCACAGAAATTCAATATGAACCAACAATTTAATACACCCTCCAGTATGCAGATTATTTGCACAATACAGGAAAAGTAGCAAGTTTATAGCTGCAGCTGTAGGAACCTTAATGCCATCTTACTCTTTAAATAGTGACTAGCGAACATTCAGATAGGAGCTCAAACACTTAGGTTTAAAATCACAAGACCAACTACCCGAACGTAAGACTGTCTCTTTATGAAGACTAGATTGTATACAAAACTCAGAGTTAAGCAAATGTATGCAGACAGGCACTGCTCCCTTTTATAGCACATCAGCTTTGACCTTGCAGAAACTGCAACACATCATTTATTCTCTGAATGAAACATGCAAATGCTGCGGCCAAACTGCTCACTACTCACACCATCTAACCAGACAATCCTGTCACTCAGACATCAGAGGCTCTTCAGGCTAACTGAACCACGACACTGCTACTGATCCCTGGCTACGCATACACTATTGAGTTCCTACTACCAAGCCTCAGAGCACAGGCTATCAAGAACTGTCAAGTCAAGTCTTAAGTTCTCCCAAACAGTTCCATTAAAGCACAGCCAAATCCAGGATAAAGAGTGGTTACCCCTTCCTAATTTTACAATGTATATCTATGTTCTAGGGATGTGAGCAAAGTTACAGTGCTTGAAATGTTATTTTTATCACACTTTAAATTAGTTCCAGCTAGAAATATTTTTTGGAGGAAAGACAGCTCAGTACAGAAGATTATAGGATGTACAGATTGAGAGTAATGATCTACTATAAAACATTTATAAACTGCTCTAAGAGTTGTAGCATTGGAAGGATCTAGAAAAAAAATAAAACGTCAAGTAATTGAAAACCCACTACACTATTTTCCTTGTTCTGATTTAACTTGTCAAATTATTTAGGAAAAAATCGGAATGTATTTCAAGCGAAAAATTAGTGAGTTATGCAAGAATGAAATCTGGCAATTCATAGACCATACCACTTTTCATGCTAATATACTGCTAAAACTGCAGCTTCTATAAAAACAATAAAACTGAAAATTCGTAAGCTTACCAAATGCACAGTGCAGAATCTAGAACAAAAAGAAAAAAAATCAAATCACTAACATTTCAAATGAAGCAATTCAGAAACATATTTAGTTCTACCACAAGAGCTTAAGATTCAATATTTGTATTTCAAAGGTCAAACTTAATATTTAGCTCTGCTGGCTCAAGCTAAATAGCAGACAGCAACCTCTCTCACTGATTGTTACAAGGAAAAATCCAGCATTTGTGAGAAGGCATTTTTCTTACATTTACCTTCAAATCACTATAAACGCGCTGTTCAACAAAGGCTGCCTTATTTCTACTAAACAAAACACTCATGCAAGTATCAGTAATGGTAGGGAAGAAGACTACACCTACCTCAAGCAAAGCTCCAGTTTGGAAGAATTTCAGGGGCTTTTCTATTGAATAGTAAAGGCTATGGTAGCTACCTTTAGCCAGGTATGCTCGAACTAGACCAACTGCAATAACAAGCCATCTGAAAGAGAGAAAGAAGTCTCAAGGTAAGGAGATTAAGCAGAGCACAAATACAAAGAAAGCTTTAATCCCTCCTCTGATATGCGAGGTAGCAACAGGCATGGAACCGTGCTGAAAGATACTTTCTGCTGACCCCTGCAACACAGAAAACATTACAAAGATTTGGATTCTCTGCAAATTTATGAAAGTTAAAGATTATGCGTTTTTTAAACATCCTTCAGCAACAACGCGATACCAATATCTTTAATGTCTAAGTTTATTTTTTTTATGACCTGTATTTAATTTAGTTACGGAAGTTATTCACAACATTTTAAATAAGATGGGCATCACATTTTGCTTAGTTTAAGCTGAAAATCATTTGCTGCTAGTCAAAGATCTCTTACCACACCATACGTTAAGAAAGTATGACATAAACAACTAAGATCCAGACGGCAGTAATTTTAATGTTTCAGTTCAAAATCAATCCTCAGACTTTATGGTAGACCATCCAGCTTAATTGCTAGCACGTATTTTATGAGAAACAGTTATGGATGAGTAACTGAGAAAACCGAGTGTGCTGAAGCCTTGAAGGCAGCAGTGGCCATTCCTGTCCCAGCTCTCCTGCTAAGCAACAAATAGACCTAGGCCTACAGAAGTAGGGTCTATAAAACTGCAGCTATACCATAAACCTATGACCTGCTAACCCTGCTGATTTTCCCCTCGGGCACTTAAGGAAGCAGCCCTAAAAATTTTTCCTCCACTCCTGGCCGATACAGTAACATCTTTCATTACCACAGCTGTCCACAGCCTCAGGAATTCTTTAGTGACATCTAGGACAAGCCACAAAACTAAGGTGAGTACACCCTGGTCAAACGCTGCTTCATTTGAACTATGGTTATCTGTAGTTAACTTGAGTTTCCAATTGCTTGTGGCAAACATGGGGAGAAGGGTTTGGTCAACAAGAAGTAGGAATCCTTACCAGCGGCTCCCAAACTTTTCACTGACAGGCTCATCCTGGCTGCCTTGCCCTCAGCTACTCTTAATGCCACCCTGCTTTACCTCCACCTCCCTCCAAACCCAGAAGTGCTGTTACAAACGTTGTGCTAACAGTCACCAAGCGTCCACTAATAATAGTGCAGCTCAGTAGAAGTGTGTGTATACATGTAGAAAGCCCCTAACTATGCAATAGCTTTCTACCCTTTGGAAAAAAGGGTAGAAACCTGCAGCTGTGGTTTTGCAACAGGGAAGATGAAGAAACTCCCTTAATTTATGGCATGTTAGATGCTTACAAGTACCATCTTAGCTTAGGTATTATGAAGTATATACTAACATTGTCCCAGGTGTAGTAATTGTTTGAAATACACCATGAAATTCAGCTCTTCCAGTAAGAAGTAACTCTGGCATCCGAATTTGTGTTTGTAACATTTGCTAGTACAACTGAAAAAATGTTATTTCACTTTTGCCTGGACTTGTCAGAAGAAAAGCACCGGGACTGGGTAAGAGAAATAGGGAATGAGACACAAGCCCCCCATTTTTTCAGAAGTGACAAGGTATTGAAGTTAAAGCTGCCTTGTGAAGCCAGAAGGCCAAACATTTGCCAAGTACTTGCTGTTTACAAAGAAGGAATCAGATTAATTTCGTATTTGGACTTCAGCATAGAATAAACCAGTAAGGTTGGTGCTGTCCTGTTCACAGACATCTATTTTTTGTTGAGAAACTTTGCTGAATTAAGCAACTTCTCAGACTGCACAAGATAACAGCTCTTGGTTGTGCCTGCAAACTGGTCTCACCTTAACCGATGGATCGGTAACATAAGTGGCTCCCAGAGGACCTCCAGCCCCTTGCTCAACTCCACCCTCCCTGAAGGATCACTGACTCCAGACAGACTGTACTTTCCATTCCATTTACTGTCCTTCAAAAAGCATTTAATACAGATCAAAGTATTAATCTGCACAAAATGAAAAGGTGTGCCTAGTTTGTGTTGAAGCTTTTAGTACCTCTGTCCTGCTTTGGTGATTCTTAAATAGTTCTCCACCCTCTACAGCTAGAGATAATGCAATAAGAGTAGGTGGAAGCAAGAAAGATTAAATGAAAAAGAAACTTGGTGAGAAGTTTAAAAGGGCAGGAAAAGGCACTACTGTCATGTGGAAGCTCAGCTGTAAGTTAGTTTTGCCAGTTTCCTCTGACCCACAACTAAAGTCTACCTGATACACCAGCTGGAGTTGCATTTCATTAAACTACCATTGTCATGTACATTTTAAGCTAGATTCTTACACTCTTCCATTAATCCAAACAAAGAAAAACGAACTATTTTTTTTTACTTTCATTGCTCAGTCTTGATAGAAAAGCTTCATGCTCAGGTCCTTAGTTTAATTCCTTTTATTTCTCTTACAAGTGATTTCTTATGCAAAGTTTACTGAGGTTCTGCATCATTTATGCAAGAGAATACAGTAAAGCTATGTAGTGAACACACCTGAAAAGGGAAAAATGTGCTTTGACTCTCAACAACCAGTCACTGAAGACTCAGACAGTGAAACCCAGAACACTGCTTGACACTGATAACATGAACCCTTGCAAATTCAAAAGCTATTAAGATCTATCTTGTTACGAGAAATACTTTGGAAATTCATTCTTTGTACCACCATCACCTACTTCCACCCGTAAGTACCAGTCAGTTACAGCCCTTGACCGAAAATAAGAAACATAATTGCATTTTAAAGCAGCTTACCAAACATTTACACTCAGCTACCAGCATCTAACAGCATGTCCTTCCTCCCTGCCTTCCCTGTTCTTCAACAATTTTGGTCAACCACGGTTTTTAGGAAAGAATTTCTATGCTGCCGCTATGCCTCCAGAACGAGCTTCCTATGCCAGGGCAGGCATGACTACATGACTTCATGCTGTCACAGGAAAATAACACTTTGAATGCAAGGGAAGAAAGCTGCAATGCTTTCTCCAGCTTAACGCTTGGAGCCATGGTCAAAAAAACCTGAGCAAGTACAGCTGAGAACCAGCAGGAGGACTGATCATTCCTGTTGTATCACAGTGGTCCCTTTCCTGAAAGAAAACACCCAGAACATGCGAACCAAACACTAAGTGCATGCAGCCTCATTTAGGGATCCACAGGTATATATGCTTTTTCCAGTGTTTTGCCTTTCAAAAGGCACTGTATTACTAGGAATCCATACACTACCTCCACTGCAGTATAGAATTAGAAACAAGATCTAGTATTTCTAGAATCAGTATGTTTTCTTCAGCTAAGTCAAGATAAATGTAAAGTAAATATAATAATTATGCTGAGATTTTTCAATTGGTTCTTGATCCATTTTAAATAAATAATAGATAAGGCAACTATGATTCCAAAACATTTACTTTAGTACCTATTTATAACATGACAAAGCTGTTGTGCGCCTCAGTTTAACAGCCACCTTTTTGTAAAAGAATATGAAACAAACCCACTTGAAAAGAAGGAAAATCCCATGTGCTTTCACAGCATCACTTTGTCATTTGGGCACCTTCATTTTTTTTGGTGTTTTCACAGTTTTCTTTCCAAGGCAATGCTGTCTGAGAAATTTAGTCTGAGAAATTTAGTCTCCGATTGACTCAGGGACAGTCATTACTGCCACCGGCTGTGTATCAGTCTTTTCATATGAACGTAGGAGCTTCAGACAACCAAAAACTACCTGAAAAACTGCCTTATGAAAAAGAACTAAGTTCGAAGTCGTGTATTGTGGTATTTCAGCGGTGTCCAGCAAAGCGCAAAATCCTCATCCATTTGAAGACAAACGATCAGTGACCTACTCCAACTGAACGGCAGTGGGTAACAACACAGAGATATGAACCCTCATCACGGGACGCCTGTGGTAGATCCCCAAATTGCAGAAATCATCTAATCACAAACATGCTCAGAAAAAAAACCCCTCACGTTAAAGCACCTTAAGCCACATCCCACCCAAGCCTGGAATTTTCTAGGAGGTTTCATATAAAGCAGGAAAACAGCTAACATTATGATCAAGATTTATATGGCAACAAGAAGGAAAATACAGATTTATGCTATTTATTTCTGAGTTTCTAATACTTGAATTGGCTTTCATTTTTTTTTCAAACTGGTGGGTAATTATCACTCCTCTCTGACTGAAATACCCTACAAATATCACTTGAAGGTGCAAGGCTGCTTAGCAGTTCCACTGCACAGGAATACGTCTATTGGGCAATAGGTGTAACAAGCACCTTACCAAATCCCAGCTCTCCCCTCTCAGCTAACCTTTGTTCCATTTAAGTGCAATTATCTCGTAAGGCGAAACAGCACCAGCTGTCACCAGTAAAGGCATAAATGATCATGTCAAACTGCCTTATCAAAATAAATCACATCTATATTAATTTTTATTAATCTTCCCCCAAAATAGTGAGCCTGTCCTGTTTGCCTGACTCCTCGCCCGCCAGGATTTATCTAGTGGAAAACAGGCTTATTCGGGATCCATTTTAAAGGTTCCTTTCTCCTGCCACCCAAATATCCTCAATCTTTCAAAGGATAGTTTTATTTTTATCTGTGTTCCAATAAGAATACCAAAAAAAGAAAATAAGAAAAAAGTCTCTGAAGTTTATCTTGAGAGTCCCCGGTTGTAGCTATTTTTATTTTTGTGCCTAAGAACACACCAGAGCATGCACCAAGGGGCCCAAGTCTCCATTTTACTATGGGGCAAGAGCAGAGCACCAGGCAGGCCTCGGAGCTCACACGACACAGGGAGCAGCTTTCACCTTCAACCTAAGTATGTGGCAGATGAAGAGCTCATGGGGCAGTCTCGCAGGGCTCTAAGAGATAACTGCTCTGCCTTCTGAACTACCATGGCAGATAAATCCCCGCATTCAGGTTCACCTCTGTACTGAAAAGTGCTGGAATCCACACCACAGACAGGGTGAGGCGAGAACAGTGATCTACACAATCACCTAGATGAGAAAACTGTTGCAAAGGAAATTAAGGTACGGATTATAAACCACGGCACTTCCCAGAGCACACGCACTTGTGCTGCTCCAGTTAACCTGCTCTGGAAGGGGCGCGAGGAGGAGGATGTGCCGCAGAGGGGCTCGGCTGGCGGAGAGCGGGCTCACCCCCGGCACGGGCAGCGCACCGACACCGGACCCTTGACAGCTCCGGGGTATCGTTACAGTGTGTGACGGAGAGAAACGCGAAAGCAAGCACAGCAGCCTTACACACCGGAGGGGACCAGGCACCCCCCTACAGCATGAGAAGCACCAAGAGAGGTCCTTAGTTGTGCTTTTTCAGAGTTATCGACAGCGTGAGGCGCGACGGGTGACAGGCAGCTCGAGGGAGCACCCGGGTTGCGCACTGTAGGGGAGGACGGGGCAGACAGGAGAGGGGCGCAGCCACGGGGACACCGAGCGGTACGGCTGGTCC